ATGTGACTCCAACGGACGAGAGAAGTAATTGAAAGAGGAAAACATTCGAATGGAAATTCCAATGGAACTTTTCCACTTTGGTGGATCAGCCAATTTTGAGTTGGAAGGAGAGACCACCGCACTGCAAATACCACAAGGGAGTGCCGAGCCACTGAAGTTTGAAATACAGAAAAATGGGAAGAAAATAAATGTGGAGTTATACGCTCAACAAGTTGATGGCATCGAGAAGAACGGATTTGACTTGAAGAAAACACTTTTTGTGGAGAAACAATACATCGGACAAAGCGTCTCATTGCCTATCAAAAATGAAGTGCTGAACGAAGAGTATCAAGTGCCACTTGTAGTCCCCGAGAACGAAATGACATTTGATTTGGGAGAACTCGGGATGTACAATGCAGAGACTCAAAAGAGAGGAAAGATGTTTTTGGTTGTTAAGACTATTTAAAGAGTCAGAAGGGCTCATTTAAAAATATTTGTTTGAATTGTTTACGGTTTTTAGATTCAATTGAAAAGGTTTGAAACTGAAAATACAAAATAACACGGAGTTTGTTATAAAATATCAAACACCTCCAATTGAAAAAATATAAAAAATAATATACAGATCCTCAAGCTGTTTATAATTAATAAAATAAAAAATAGAAACAAATAATTAATTGTTGTTTATAATAGTATATAGTTAATTTAATCAAGACTAACTTTTTGTTACCAACTCAAATTAAATATTTTTTTCATTTACATTTTGTCATTATACTTTGAATCTTAACTTTAGTATATCAAAGTAGGTCTCATATCAATTACATATGTCAAAGCAAGTTTATGTGTACTCCATGCACATTAATGCGACACAGTTGAGAATACAACGATTTCAATAACATCTTTTTAGTGTGTAAGAAATATGAATACATAAATACACTATAACAAATAAATTTATATTTACTCGATTTTATTTAAATAAACCCAATTCAAATTACTTTAGAAACAAACATCTTATTCAAGTTTATACAAATTTTATTATCAATAATCTTCGATACATGTTTTCGGGTTGTTTAAAGATAGAAATATTATTGCCTCGACATTTCATAGAACTTAGCAATAATGCGTTTAAAATAGTAGCAATTTAAAAGAAATAAAATTTCTCTATTTACTATAGTATATATCAAAAAAATGTTTCTATGGATGCATTACTTTTTCTTCTGTTCAAATTAAAACAAATGTCATTTTGATTGAATATTATGCTTTCGGTGTATATATTTTAAAAACTTTAAAGTTGAAAAGAATGTGTTTTGATGAAAATGTTATGTTTCGGGATGGAGGTGTTTTGAGAAATGCAATTTATTAACTCGATTTGATGTACCAATTCCTTTAATAAAACAATTATACATCACAAACCAAAAATATAAAAAATATATTTGAAAGACTAGGCATTGAAGTTTTAAATAAAAAAACACAAAGTGAATAAAAGTGCGTGTAAGTTTGACAATGAAAACAATCCAATTTATGAGACGAATAATGATTTTAAACCAAATTGTTGAAGATTGAATATATCATTTTATTGTTTTTTATATAATTATTACATTTAAAAAATCTTCTAATTATATTAAACAAATAAAATAAACAGAATAATTGAAGTTTCCAAAGTAACTCTGGTCAATTTTAAAGTGATCTGGTATTTTTTAAATCTAAAAAATAAAATATTCTAAAAAAATAAAACTCGTTGCATTAAATTGTCGTTACATATTTTCACATTTTTTTACAATGATCATTTTTCACATAAAATTAAAATGGTTTAATTTTTTTACTATATAAAGTTTACATAATGACTCTACTTTTTAAAGCGTTTTTTTTTTGTTTATTAAATAAAATCAATTGAAAAAATACTCTATTATATTATTAAAAACTATGTAATTTGATTTTTATTTTAAATGGATTTTAATACGTTAATTTTTAAATTTAAATATATAACTACCCACTTTTTTGAAAAAACAACAAAATTAATAAAGTCTGTCTAAAAACGTTGTCCATTTGACAAAATTTTACACAAAATATGTTTAAAAATTTAGGAATTAGGTAAAAACGATCAAATCCCGGTAAAAATTATGAAACAATGTTTTGGGAATGTTTCGAATTGTTTCCCGAAATATTCCAGTTTTAATGGTCCAAAAATGCCTGGACAATTTTGGAGAGTGGACAACGTTTTCAGACTGACTATATTCATGTTTTTTTTAAATAATATTGGATAAAATTCAACTGTTTTATAAAAAATATTATTAAATATTTCAAATAATAATAACCAAAATAACCAAATAATATACTAATTATTGTAATTAATTTAAATAATATAAAATAATACATGAAATAGTTACAAATTGGGTGTAATAACCTTATTTTAAACATAAATTATTTTTTGGATTGTGATCTTATATTTGTTCAAAAACGAATTTTAGTTCATCATGTTGAAACAAGTAAGCATTCTTGTTTTCAGTGTATTTCAATTTGTTCTTCTTTTCATCTTTGTGTTTATTTTTATTATAAATGTTAATAACATTCCAAAAGTGTACAAAAACAATACTCCATTAATATTTCCTGACATGCTAAAACCAAAAAATATTGATTTTGTTTATTCATACGAATTTAAACAGCCGACTTATGCAAATGATGTCATCAACACAAGTAACTTCAATTATGATGGAAAATGCAGAGAAATATTTAAATACCCGGCAAACAACAAAAGGGATTTGTTTATCACATCTGTCGGGTTTTCAGGTCTTATAAAGAATTATTGGGAAGATAATAAGAAGGAAATTACAACTATAATGGCACTTGCTAACAACACTTTTCCAAACGCCAAAAAATTGGTTTTGTTACTGCCTGGAGAAGAAAATAAAGACTTTGAAGAAACCACAAAGTATTATGGTTTTGAAATACAAAAAGCGTTTATACCCAGATT